CGCAGGAGATTACTTCGCCAGCAGTGGAGATGCTGTGAGCGTAGCTGATGCACAGTACTCTGCGCAGGACAACAGAGCAAGACTGTCTCAAAAAAATTAATACGGTCGTGTGTGTGTGTTAATTGCTATTGACCCGCAGTTGTATTCCTGAGGTTATTCTTATACTTGGTACACGATGGGTACATACTGGATTATTGTAGCTGGTTGTATAGCAGAATTTGAAGAAAACAACCTAGATTCATCGTAGGATGTCAAGAACCATGAGGAAAAAACCATTTACAGTGGAATACATGCAGGAAGTAAATATACGAATTTTCTGGTGAGAATAATTTTATCATATATTTTTATGTCATAAACGGAACGAGTCTTGCACAGGAAAATGTATAATAAGGTTCCGAGAGATAATGGGAGAGACTGACAAATAGAAAGATTGGAAGAGACTTTTCTAGGACTAAACAAACAAAAAATGAAAGTAAATACTACTCAAATTAACAAAAGGCAACAATAACATCTCTGGACTAAAAGAAAAAAAAGCAAAGTGTTAAGTAGAGCTAAATATGAAAGTCGTAAGGGAATCTGTTTGGAAGCTGGCAGCGGCCGATGATGATCATTTCGCTGCAAGCCGAATAGAGACCAAACTGAGGGGATATGGTGACAGGTTGGGAAAGAGTATAAATTGTTACTCCCAGAGAGCTAGAGGGCTGGTCGAAAGGGAAGCTGGAAGAAGAAGGGTGGACACGTGCTATGATATGGTGTAAATGCATGGCGTCCATGAGGGATATAAGGAAGCGTGAAAAGCCCTATTAGAGCTAGGCCTACCTACCATTCTTAGTGGCTTAGCTTGCAAGAGTAGTAATCGCAGTTATGGAACCTAATCTGGGTGTGGTTTGGCCGTGAGAGGGGGCACAATGAAAAATTGTTAGTGAGTGAGTGCACAAGACTACCAGCAACACATAGCCAACTTGAGGGAATAATGGAACCGCAACAATTCAATAAAGGTAGTACAAGAAAAGACAGGTACCCTAGAAAAAAAAAAAGAAGAGTCGTATACGCTTATTAAAGATAGCAAGAAATAGCGTTCCGGGTGCTGGATATAAAATAGTCCCAAGATTTGTGCTTAGGGAGAAAAAGGGAATTGGATGCACAGGTTAAGAATGTATGGTTTGCTCTGGCAGGAGTGGGAGAGAAATTCGAAGATTCTCATGTCAAGGGACTCTATCTATGAAGATATAATAATAAACATTTAAGTATATGTTTAAATCCTTAAGATATAAGAACGAATACATAACCATGAAAAAGACAAAAATAATAGTGTAATGGCACACGTGGGATATAAAAGAGTGAACATTAGAAATCTTTTGTGTTTTTGTTTTTTTTGATGACTTCTGTGCCCGGCCTGTAGAGGTGATGTCGACTAGCCACGACAACCTCCAAGACTCCTGCTCCAGCATCCTTCTGCTCGCCTTCCAAGTAGGTGGGTATAGCAGGCTTGCGGCACCACCCGGTTAATTTTTTCTCATCAAATTTTTAGTGCCAGCTAATTCTTTTATTTAGTGAATGCGTCTTGTTGCTCTCTAGGCTGGTCTTGAAGATGCCTGACTCAAAGGTCTCCCACTTCAGCCCCTGAGTGAGATTACAGCATAAGCACCTGCACCTACATGAACTCATTATTAACTGTCGTTCAGGACAGTTACTAGACGTAAAATAGTGACGATGAATAATGCTGAAGTAGGAGTTGGAACGATATAGCATTAAGAATGTACCAGAGTTAACAAGAGAGAAGGAAAAAATAGAGAAAGAGTACTAAGAGGATAGAGGAAGTAATCAACATAAGGTGCTGTAATATCTAAAAGAAATTGGTAGAAGGAGATAGCAGAGAAAAAGTAGTTTAGAGAGGAGAAAGAATAATAATAATTGAAGTTTTGCGCCGGGTTGATTCGCATTGACTGAACATTCTTAGCGGATGCAGTTTAATAAAGCGGGTGCTCATCATAAATTGGCAGTATCATAACAGAGTTCGGGTAAAGATGGAAAAATAGGCCACAGCGACCTGGCCGTGATCCAAGGGGATACATTACTGTAATTAGACAAGCTGTTACGAGAAACAGAGGTAGATACAGAATTGTGAATCCTGTTTGCTCAAAATTAAGGATAATGTGATACCTGACTATCTAGTATGTTACTGGGGATCCATCGGCCAGGTGAGGGGTCCAATCGGCCTGGTAGATCCTAGCCACTGCTGGACGAGTCTGAGCATAAATATAGCTTGATGTCAGGAGTCGGAGACCAGGCTGAGCAGGAGCAAGGCCTGTCTCTTATTGATAAATAGAAAAATGCCGAAGAACAACTAAAGAATGCAAACGATATTATTCGGCATGAGTGGTGATGCTAGTCACTACCCGACAGGGTTGAGCGCAGAGTAGACGCTGGACGAGAGTTTGTGAGGTGCTGTGAGCTAGCAGGAGCCACGATGGCGTCTACCTAGGCGTAGAGTGAGGATCGGGCTGCAAAGAATAAGAGAATAAAGCTGTCAGCGAAAATGAGCCAAAGGGGAGGCTGTATACACAAACCAAAAGGTTCCTTGCTTATAAAAGCTTGAATGTAAGAAAGCCAAAGGAGGACTGCAGCTGGAAGAATAGTAAACACTAAGAGGAGGAGATGGAGATAGAGAAGGGAACTACAGGGCACGCAAAGAAGGGTCAAATGGACGATGATGTAAAGTTGACTAGATTAAATAGGTGTATATATGTTTTTAAAGTAGACCAAAGTTCTAGGAGCGTACAAAGCGCTGAAAATGAAGGTCATTGAGTCAAGAAAGTACTGGTCGTGTTCGACAAGAAGTGGCTAGAGGTACCGTGTGGTATCTGAGCAATTAGTTGTCTTGACAAAGAGGATAAATAGGATGTTGTGCTCTCAAGTGAAACTACTCAATGAAATAACTTGCTTATCCCTACTAGCGTGTAAGCATTAGGAGGGTTACCTTCCTGCCTACAGATTTCCTGCTGGGAGCTGAAATGGGAGCAGATATACCTGTCTAGGTGTGGGGAGGATTAAGTGACCGAAATTGAAAGGCGATTAGAGACAGCTGGCGCTTAGGTAAAGCTAGTCAATGTACATACAAGTGAATGGCTTGCGGTAGCTGCTCGTTGTAACTGAATGCGTAACCACACGAAAGAAGTAGGAAAAAGCGTATCTTTTCAGGCAGCAGAACAAAGAGAGAGGAGTGAGGACAGAGCTTCAACTGGTAGACCGTCAGGTCAGCTGGAGTACTTTTAATTGTTTTGATTTTTTTTTTTGAGCATTCGTAATCTACGAGGATTGATATTTTTTGATTTTTTTTTTTTTTGAGACAAGGTCTGCACTCTGTTGCCGCAGAGTCGCGTGGCACAGCCAGGCTACAGCAACCTCAACTCTTGGCTAAGCAATCCTTCTGCCTAGCCTCTGAGTAGCGGAGCTCAGAGGCACCAATGCGACGGCTAATTTTTGCTATTTTGAGTGTCTGCTAATTCTCTTTGTATTATAATAAGACGGGTCTTGCTCTGCTCAGGCGCGTCCGAACCCTGAGCTCAAACAAATCCCTGCTCGGCCCGTGCTGGGATTACAGGTGTGAGCCACCGCACCTGGCCATTTTTTGACTTTTGTTCTTAGAGATCCTAAGAACAAAGAGAAAATTTATTTATTAAAAGAAAACATTGTATCTTCCAATTACCATATGAATCCATTAGATCCTTTTATATGAACCTAAGGTACCTTGTGGGATCTTCAGAATCTTACTTTTCGCATATATTGAAATATTTTGCTATTTAACTGTAGGAATTTAATTATTTCATATTTTGCCAAAAAAGACTAAAATAATAAAGAATGATAGACTCACCTAGAAGGAAGATGTAATAGTTAAGTAGTCATTTTTCAATTTTCTTATTGCATTGCTCAAATATTGCATTCTCCTTAAAAAGGTATAAAAGAATTTGGGAGACATACAAATTAGAAGATAAATGCAAAGAGAGAAGTAGTACTCCACACCTCATCTATCCAATATGGTAGCCACTTGACACATCTGACTATTTGTATTTAAATTAATTAAAATAAATAAAATTTAAAACTCCATTTCTCAGTCACACCACTTTTTTTTTTTTTTTTTTTTTTTTTTGAGACAGAGTCTCACTTTGTGCCCGGGCTAGAGTGAGTGCCGTGGCGTCAGCCTAGCTCACAGCAACCTCAAACTCCTGGGCTCGAGTGATCCTTCTGCCTCAGCCTCCCAGGTAGCTGGGATACAGGCATGCGCCACCATGCCCGGCTAATTTTTATTATATATATATATATATATATATATATATATATCAGTTGCCATTAATTTCTTTCTATTATAGTAGAGACGGGTCTCGCTCAGGCTGGTTTTGAACTCCTGACCTTGAGCAATCCGCCCGCCTCGGCCTCCCAAGAGCTAGGATTACAGGCGTGAGCCACAGCGCCCGGCCAGTCACACCACTTTTAAGAAGTTATGTAGAGGGGACTACTACACTGTGGCTAACTACCATGTTGGACTACACAGATACAGAACATTTTCATCATTGGAGAAAGTTCTATTACATATTGCTGCTCCAAACTCTAATAATGACAGTAAAAATGATCATATTAGTGTAAGCTCAGACTGTTATTCTTTTAGATGATAATATCTTATATGAATTTTCTTAAATTTAAGAATTGATTAATGCACAGATATTTCTAAGGACAAAAAAATATAGTTTTTTTATCCAGTTATTCAAGAGGAATATTTTGCAACACAAACCTGAACCATCTCTTTTTGCTTAAAAAAAAAAAAAAGTACTGCGGCAGTGTTCTTTCCATCTTTTATGATGTTTGTGTGTGCAAAAATTTATTTTGCACAAAGAGTTTGCTATATTTAAATTATTATTAAAATCTCCAAGAAAGTTGTTTTGTACTATCCCTTTATTATTCTGTAAATTATTCGTAAAATGACCTAATTTTTTTTTTTAAAGGAGTCCTTCATACCCAGGTAATAAGTAGTATGCTGACAGTTGAAGCATGAGAAAAAAACAGGAAAAGAGGGAGTAGAAAGTAAAGAAAATGCAAGGTAAATGTAACAAAACAAAATAGAAATATAATCAGTCATAATGGCTTAAGTATATGTACTTAAAAGTTATAATATGTTAAAAATAATTTAACTGCTACTTACAATAGATATACTCAAAGGGACACACATTAAATGTAAAGGGATGAAAATATGGTGAGTTGAACACTGTTGTGTATTTTCATTTCTACTTGAAACACCATGATGTTACAGTAAAATAGTTTTAAGGCATAAACCCACAAGAACAGAAAAGAAAAAGGGGAAGAGGGACAAAAATCAAGAATTTGGAAACTGAAAAGTAAATGAATAGGTGGCAACCAACTTAGTGTACCTAATAAAGTTGAAAGCAAGCAGGCAGAAACGGAAGCTATTAATATAAGAAACAAGCCAAATCATACCAAAGAACCCCAGAAAAACTAAGGAATTACAGGCACAAATACCTCTAAAGGCTGGATGTAGGGCAAAGATAAAACCCAGAGTACTGGTTGTAAGACTTTTAAAAGGGCAATTAGACTTCTAGCTCCCTTCCTGCATCTTGTGCAACCAGGTATTTACCATCTTTACCATCAAGGCAGAAAGCTGATGCTTATTATGGGAGAGAATATACCAGATACAGATGAGGGATGGGCCTTCAAACCTAAAATGGTGATTAAATGGAAAGTCTGTATATGAAAAATGGAGAATGCAGTGCCTTAGCTCTTTGCCTCCTTGAATACTAGCTTCTAGATGTATATGCCTTCCAAGGAAGAGATTAGAAGAGTACTCTCTGGGAAAACTAACCTGTCTAAAAATAAAGTCATAGACTTACCAGTACTGACACTGAAATTCACTATGTCCCTATTTTATTGCTCTACAATAACTTTAGCTGCTTTAAAGTTATTGAGAACCCTCCAGTAGCTTTTTTTTTTTTTTTTTTTTAAGAAGTGTGGTTTTGCTCTGTTACCCAGACTGGAGTGCATTGGCATAATCATACCTCATTGTAGTGTCGAACACCTGGACTCAAGCAATCCTCCTGCCTCAGCCTTCTGAGTAGCTGGGACTATAAGCACCTACCATTGTGCCTGCTAATTTTTTTTATTTTTTTGTAAAGATATGATCTCTCTATCTTGCCCAGGTTGGTCTCAAAGTCCTGGCTTCAAGTGATCCTCCTGACTCATCCTCCTGAGTTACTGGTGGCATGGGCCACTGGGCCTGCGTCAACCTTTTTTTTTATTATGAGTTATAGCTATCAATATTTACTAAATTATAAAAATTAAAACATTAAGTATTCTTTTAAAAACAATCATAGTAAACTTATTTTTTTTTTTAATTTTAAAAATCTAATTTTTAAATTTTGGCCTACATTGTGAACAAAAGTAGTAAACTTATTATATATCTTAGATGTTATACTTTTTATGAAAAATTATTTTCCAAAATTTGGAGTAGCAATTGTTTTACATTTTGATGAATCTTATGTCCAGCTTAACAGAAACTGACTGAATTTTAATATCTGCTTCTGTATTTGCTCTGTTATATCAGCTCACTTATATAGCCTCTGGAAAACTCTGCTGTATACTCTGAAGAAAATGAGCATGAATAAAACATATAATGTCTAAACGTCTATTAATAATGAAAGTAGTTTTGACCGTAATATTCTCTGAAAGTCATACTTTGATGACTGTCAGGGATTCCCAGACCACATGTTGAGAACAGCTATTCTACACTAAAGCCCTACAAATCATAATCCCACACACAATTTTCTAAACAGCATTTAGTATCTTACTCTAATATATGAATGGACAGCCAGAGATTATCAGACAATTGAGGAAAACTTGTAACATGAAAGGTGGAATCAAGTAAATTAGAAGAAACAGAAATGGTACAGGGAAGAAGAAAATTTGAAAGAAACTCATAGATTCAGAGGGCTTAAAGAAGTCTACAGGTTATTGTAAAACCAGAACTGGAGGAACATCAGAGTAAAAGTGATGTCTTAGAAATTAGAAATATCAAAACAGATATGAAATGTAGAAGTAAGTTTAACTATAAAGTAATAGAAGGAAATATTGACAGAACCTTTGTAACATAGTACTAGGAAAGGACTTTGTATATAAAATTTCAAAAACACATTGCTTGTGTCAAAAGGTGGAATTAATTTGTTTACTTCAGAATTAAAGAGTGCTGTGCATTGAAGGGAAATCATGATAGAATGGAAGAAGATATTTTCAGAATGTGAAATCTGACAAGGAATTTAACATTGAGAAGATTCATAGAATCCTGAAAATCAAGAAGAAAAAGCCTCCCCATGGCTGGGCGCAGTGGCTCACGCCTGTAATCCTAGCACTCTGGGAGGCCGAGGCGGGCGGATTGCTCGAGGTCAGGAGTTCGAAACCAGCCTGAGCAAGAGTGAGACCCCCATCTCTACTATAAAAAGAAATTAATTGGCCAACTAATATATATAGAAAAAATTAGCCGGGCATGGTGGCGCATGCCTGTAGTCCCAGCTACTTGGGAGGCTGAGGCAGAAGGATTGCTTGAGCCCAGGAGTTTGAGGTTGCTGTGAGCTAGGCTGATGCCACAGCACTCACTCTATCCTGGACAACAAAGTGAGACCCTGTCTCAAAAATTAAAAAAAAAACAACCCTCCCCAATATAAAAATACACAAGGGGGCCAGGGTAGTGGCTCATGCCTGTAATCCCAGCACTTGGGACATAGAAGCAGGAGGATCTCTTGAGGCCAGGAGTTCAAGACCAGCCTGGGCAACATAGTGAGACCTCATTTTTACCAAAAACAAAAAAATTAGCGGGAGTGGTGGCACCCACCTATGGTCCCAGCTACTCAGGAGGCTGAGGCAGGAGGATTGCTTAAGCCCAGGAGTTAAAGGTTCTGGTGAGCTATGATTGTGCCACTGCACTCCACCCTGGGCAACAGAGCAAGACCCTATCTCTAAAAATAAAAATAAAATAAAAAAAAATATGCAAAGGTTCTAAATAGGCAGTTTATAAAAGGAGAACCTCAAAGCTAATGGACCTATGAAGATATGCTGAAATCATTAGTTGTCAGATAAAATATAAATTAAAACAATGAGATTTCACTTTATACTTATTAGTTTTGAGGAAAGAACAAGAAGAAAATTGGTGGGACATGGTGGTTTATGGTTTTAATTCCAGCACTTTGGGAAGCTGAGACAGGAGGATTGCTTGAGGCCAGGAGTTCGAGATCAGCCTGGGCAGCATAGCAAGACCCCATCTGTAAAAAAAAAAAAACAAAAATAGCCAGGTATGATGGCATCCCTTGTAAGTCCTTAGGAGGCTGAGGCAGGAGGATCCTTGAGCCCAGGAATTCGAAGCTGCAGTGATGCTGCAATCATGCCGTATACTCCAGCTTGGGCAACAGAGCAAGACCTTGTTGCAAAAACAAAAACAAAAGAAAAACAAACCAAAAAAAGAAAACAATGCATTTAGTTGCCATAACAGATTACCCCCAAAATTTAACATCATAAAATGGCAGGCATTTATTATCTTATAGATGCTGAAGGTTAGGAATCGGGTAGTGGCTTAGCTGGGTGGTTCTATGTCAAAGTCTCGTTAGGTTGCAGTCAGACGTGTCACCAGGGCTACAGTTATTTGAAGATTTGATGGGGACTGAAGTACCTGCTTTCAGGATGGCTTGTTCACATAGATGTTGGCAAGAGGCCTCAGTTTCTTGCTGGTTGTTTGCAGAACGTCTCAGTTCCCTCCTCATCTAGCTGTCTACACGGCTACTTGAGTAGATCCATGAGATTATATCTGGTGACATGGCTTCCTCCAGAGCAGGTGATCCAAGAGAGTAAGCAGGAAGCCACTGTGCCTTTTATGACCTACCCTTCGAGATTGCATACTGTCACTTCCTCTTCATTAGAAGCAAGTTACTGACTCCAGCCAATACTTAAGGGAAGGGTAATATGGCTTCAACTCATGAAGGGGAGAATATCAAAGCATTTTTGGACTTCCTAGAATCCCTACACTGGATAATGCCAAGTGCTCATAGGAGTGTAAACTCTGCAGTCATTCTGGAGCTCAGTAGAGCAGTTCTTAAGTAGGTGAAGGCCCTATGGTCCAGTAATTTCATTTTTGGACATATATCTCAAGCTATTTTGTAAGAGTTTCATAAGGGGGATATGTACATGGATGTTCATTACCATATTATTTGTAGTGGTAGAAAGTTGGAGGTGATGTACTTGTCCCATATATCAATATGAGTGTAGATATATAAAATTTGTGAGTGTCACATTATAGTAGTTTCCTAGTGCTTCCATTAACAAAGTTGCACAAACTGAGAGCTTAAAACAACAGACATTTATTCTCTGACAGTTCTAGAAGTATGTGAGGAATTCTTTCACGCTTCAAAAATCTGGGTAGAATCCTTTCTCACCTATTCCTAGATTATGGTGGTGGCTGTTAATCTTTGACATTCCTTGGTTTGTAGCTGCGTCACTCCAGTCTCTACTTCTGTTGTCACGTGGCATTCTCTTGTCTCTGTCTTCATATGACATTTCCTCTTTTTGTAAAGATATTAGTCTTTTTGGATTAGGGCCCACCCTAATGACCTCATCTTAACTTGATTGCATCTACAAAGACCCTATTTCCAAATAAGGTCACATTTACAGGTACCAGGAGTTAGGGCCTCAGCATATCTTTTTGAGAGATACAGTTCATCTCATACACACATGGACTGTTATGCAACAACTGTAAGCAGCTGATTAGATGTGCACATAATGCATAGCAAAAAATATAAGAAACAGAATGAGAAGGTAGTTAGCAATAATATAAATTACAAATCTATGTGTATTAGGATTCTCCAGAGAAACAGGACCCAATAGGAGATACAGAGAGAGAGACCCAGGAGACCTGGTGATACAGATGAACTCTGAAGGCAATTGGCTGGGGAGGTCAGCCTTTTTCTTCTATTCATGCCTTCAACTGATTAGATGAGGCCTGCCCACATTATGCTGGGCAGTCTGCTTACTCAGAGTTCATCAATTTAAATTTTAATACAAAAATACTCTCTAAGTTGACACATAAAATTAACTATCAGAAGTCCACCCATTTTCAACTAGACACCTATATATATCTCCTTAAACCGTATTTAATCTCCAGATAAAT